ATGCCGACCAGAGCAAAGAAGTTATTGATATTATCCGCTCCTATGGCGGGGCATCTGGACAAGAAGTTAATCTAAATAAATCTTCCGTTATGTTTGGTAACGAGGTCCCACTCCCCGTACGGCAGGAAATCAAATCGATTCTTGGGATTTCACGTGAAGGCGGGATGGGAACATATTTAGGGCTCCCTGAAAAGATTCATGGATCAAAAGCTCAGGTCTTCGCGTTTGTGCGAGACAGATTACAAACTAGAGTAAATGCGTGGTCGTCAAAATTCCTATCTAAAGGCGGAAAAGAAGTCCTAATTAAATCTCAAGCACAAGCTCTTCCGACCTATGTAATGTCGTGCTTCCTACTACCAAAAGCAATATGCGCCAAACTTACCAGTGTAATTGCCAACTTTTGGTGGAGTAATAAAGCAGATAGTCGAGGAATACACTGGATAGCTTGGGACCAAATCTGTACCCAACTTTCTGAAGGAGGGCTAGGATTTAGGTCCTTGGAAGATTTTAATCTCGCACTCTTGGCGAAGCAATTGTGGAGATTATTACGATTTCCAGATTCTCTCCATAGTAGGGTTCTTAAAGGACATTACTTTCGGTATTCTAGTCCGCTAGAGATCACTGTCTCCAATAGACCGTCGTATGGTTGGAGAAGCATGCTGGCCGCCAAGGATGTTCTCAAATTTGGAATCCATTAGACCATTGGCTCGGGCTTCGGTACCTGCATTTGGACAGACCCCTGGATACCAGATACCCCGGCTCGCCCACCTAAGGGATTATCCGCGGAGAGGGACCCTTTGGTTTTTGTCAATACCTTGATTGATTTTGGGTCTAAACAGTGGAAGATAGATCATCTCCGGGAATTATTTCCCTCGGAAGAAATTACCCTAATATTAGGGATTAAACCGAGTCGTATTGTCTCGAGGGATGGTTATTGTTGGACAATGACAAAGTCTGGTAATTACACCGTCAAATCTGGATACGAGGTCGCGAGAAATCTTTCTCGCCCTGTTTGTGACCACCCTTCTCAGGGACCTAGTGTTACGACACTAAAGGCACAAGCTTGGAAATTAAAAACTACGCGAAAATTAAAACATTTCGTGTGGCAATGTGTGACTGGTTGTTTGGCTTCGAGCCAACGCCTTTTTATCGCCATATTGGTAGGGATAAAGGATGTTCAAGATGTGGTGCAGACGAAGAATCAATCAATCATTTGATATTCGAATGTCCTCCTGCTAGACAAGTCTGGGCTCTCTAACATTCCATCTCCCCCAGCGCTGTTTCCCTCGGCGTCACTTTACAATAATTTAGATTATCTGTATTGGCGGGGTAAAGAAGCGGGGGCGGATGAAGATAGTCTAAGAGTATTCCCATGGATTATGTGGTATATTTGGAAGGCGCGCAATCGCAAGATTTTTGATAATTTGAGTGTACCACTTCAGGAAACGCTTGATCTTGCAATTCAAGAGGAAGGCGCGTGGAGGCGAGCAAATCAGCGGGAAGACCCCCCGGCCGAGCCGATTCTTAGTTTGCATGAGGCACCAGCTGCAGAGAATAGACCATTATGCTCCATTGATGGTTCTTGGATCGGGACGGAGACTAGGAGTGGACACGGGTGGCTTATCCATCAGGGAGGACGACTTCTACACTTGGGCTTGAAAGGCTCGCGTAGAAGTCTTTCTCCCCTACATGCTGAACTGGATACTCTCTTATGGGCGATGAAGTGTTTATTGGCGATCCCAATGACGAGTATCCTCATTCAGACGGATTGCTCTGACCTATTGGCAATGACTAGTGCTCCTGAGGAATGGCCTACGTTTTCTACAGAGTTAACAGACTTTGCTTATTACAGAGATCGTTTTACTTCTTTCAGTCTTAAGCATATCCCCCGTAGTGGTAATACCTCCGCCGATTATCTTGCGAAATTTGCAAGAAATCGCGGGTTCTGTTTTTCCCATGTAAGTTCTACGGTACCTAATTGGCTTTCTAGAAGAGAGTCTTATTCCGTAAATTAATATATGGTGTTTGATTGGGAAAAAAAGAAAAAAAAGTAATAAACAATTTTAAAGAGAAGGAAAAAGAGGGGAAAAAAAACAACTTTAGTAAGAAAAGGGAAAGTAGGACCCAGAAGAACTGGCAAAATCCTCCAAATGTGGCAAAAAGGTGTCATGCAAATACCCCTAAAATTGAAAAAAGAGAGCACGCAAAACAGTGCCCATGCAACACACAACATTCATTAGAGTTTTCTTTTTTTCATAAAAACAAAAATATTCCATCCAAATTTAGCAATATTTTTAGTGTTCCCATTAATAGATTCCCAAAAAGCACTTTTAAACCCATTTTGGTCACAGAAGAAAAAGAAAGATTGAACCTTTCCTCTTCTTCTACCTTCTTCATTCAATTTTGGGGGAAATCAGAAGATGGGTCGTGGAAAAATCGAGATTAAGAGGATCGAGAATGCCAATAGCAGACAAGTTACTTTCTCCAAGAGGCGTTCTGGGTTGCTTAAGAAAGCTCATGAGCTCTCTGTTCTTTGTGATGCTGAGGTTGCTGTCATCGTCTTCTCTAAGTCTGGCAAGCTCTTCGAGTTCTCCAGTACTGGGTAATACTTCACTTTTTGATTCGATTTTGTATTTGCATGTCTTGATTTTATAGGAATCGATTTGGTGTGGATTTATAATATCAACAGTGTTACATGCCCTAAGTGAAATTGATTTTTGCATGTTTGTTCGAATCATTCTAAACTTAAAAGTTCTCTGCTTGAGCTGAAGGGAGTACTAATTTGATTTCTTATTTGATTTTAGAATGAAGAAAACACTTTCGAGATACGGCAATCACCAGAGTTCTTCAGCTTCTAAAGCAGAGGTGAGAATCATTCTTGTGTCATATGTTGAAATTCTCTTTTGATGCAACAAAATCTGATTGCCGTTTAGAACCTCCAGGAGGATTGTGCAGAGGTGGATCTTTTAAAGGATGAACTTTCAAAGCTTCAAGAGAAACATTTGTATGGAAACTAAATCCCACCATATATACTTGTTAATTACTTTATTCTTCTCTACTTTTTGTGTTTTTTTTTTTTTATATTGTTTGGCTTTGTGTGTTCTGTTGTAGACAACTGCAGGGTAAGGGCTTGAATATTCTGACCTTTAAAGAGCTGCATAACCTTGAGCAGCAACTATATCATGCATTGATTACTGTGAGAGAGCGGAAGGTAACTAGTAATATCTCTCTTCCCTCATTCCTTTTCTTTTCATTGTCCTGATTAAGGATATGTGATTTCAGGAACGATTGCTGACTAACCAACTTGAAGAATCACGCCTCAAGGTAAACACTAGCTTTTCCTCTTTAGCTTTCAAATGTAAGCTTATGTGTAATCACATGATTATGAACTTTGTTAAAACAATGTTCCCTCTATAGTGGCTACAATATCCTTTGACAAGCTCATGCTCTAATTAGCTAGTGTGCAGTTTATTTGTCTTTGGACTCCTATATAACTAGGTACAGAGTGCAAAAGTATATTTCTTTTCTTGACCAGCCATAATATTTACTTTGCAGGAACAACGAGCAGAGTTGGAAAACGAGACCTTGCGTAGACAGGTTCTCATTATTTTTGTTGAACCATCTCCTGTCATGAAGCTTCTTCCTCTGACTTCTAACTACTTCTTGAAACAGGTTCAAGAACTCAGAAGCTTTCTCCCGTCGTTCACCCACTATGTTCCATCCTACATCAAATGCTTTGCGATAGATCCCAAGAACGCTGTCATAAACCATGGTTGCTTGGACGACAGTGAGTGCAGCCTCCAGAAGACCAATTCAGACACAACTTTGCAATTAGGGTATTGCTCTTTTTGCTGTCATTGATTGCAATATAGGAAACCCATTTTAGATACTAAGCCTTTGTCCTCCTCTAGGATTCACATTCCTTAATACTAATGGAATTATAATTTGCTACTACTTGTGTTTTCTCCAAGGTTGCCGGGAGAGGCACATGATAGAAGGAAGAAGGAAGGAGGCAGAGAGAGCCCATCAAGCGACTCAGTGACAACGAACACGACCAGAGAAACTGCACAAAAGATCAGTCTAGTTTAGCAAATTCTCCACCTGAAAACAAAAGCCAAATGTTCTCTGTTTAGTCGTAGAGAAGTATGAGAGTGAGGTACTAATGTTTCCTCTTTAGCAAGTATCCGATTATTTTAAAAGTAATTTTAGAGGGATGCTTGCAAAAACAAGTGAAGATTAACTTATCTCATTTCTTCTAATCCAACTCTTTGTCCTTTCTCTTTTGTTTATTTTTTTCGACTCGCTTCTCCTATCAAGAAGATATGCCTAGCTGAGAGTTTGATCCATAATCTTTTACAATCAACTTCCTTAATAAGGCGCACAGTTTTTTGATATCTCTAATAGTAGAAATAAGCTTTATAGTATTATTGGTGAATGGTGATTCTAATGGACACTAGAAAACACCTAGTTTTGGTAGAGAAAGCTTTCTGGTTACTTTTCACTCCCATCAAAGTGACAAATCAATGAAAGTCTTGGAGTGGTTAAAATCGCCTAGATACTTACCATTGTGGTAAGGGAATTACCTTTTTAATGATTATCAATCATAAAAACAGTAAAAATTATCGACACTAAAAGCGGTATCCTCAAAAAAAATTGTACCGTTACTTCTTACCTCTTGGAATGATTCGGTATTTGATTATATCATTCTATTTTCCTACAAAAGATTGTTTATTGTGTTGTGTTACCAATCAGATTATGTATGAAAACTATAGTACAATTAGATCCCACCCCTAGAGTGAAGGTTGTCTGAATCTTCCTACTGTACTTCATTACAATCATAATTCGTAACAACATGTCATAAACAATCAAGGCCCAATTGGACCTCAAATTACAAAATCGAAAAGTTAAAAATAATTTCATAGAATGCCCCTAAACTATAAGCGAAAGTTTCAATAAAGACCTCATATTTCGCTGTAATTAAAATTCGTCCCCAGATTAATAAAGCCCAAAGGCATTAGACCGAAAACCCTAACCCCTCTTTATCCGCGCGAGAGAGAAGAAATCAGCGAGGCATTGAGCAGCCATGGTTTGCATCAGGCGTGCGACGGTGGATGATCTGCTGGCGATGCAAGCCTGCAATCTCATGTGTCTTCCCGAGAACTACCAGATGAAGTACTACCTCTACCACATCCTCTCATGGCCTCAGCTTCTCTACGTCGCCGAGGACTACAATGGTCGCATCGTTGGCTATGTGTTGGCTAAGATGGAGGAAGAGAGCAACGAGTGCCACGGCCATATCACTTCTCTCGCCGTTCTTCGTACCCATCGCAAGCTTGGTCTCGCCACTAAGCTCATGACCGCCGCTCAGGCAGCTATGGAACAGGTTACTCTAATCTTCAAATTCTTTTTTTCCTTGTTTTTTTTTATATGTTTGCATTCGATAAGCAGATTCATTGAATCAATATTATAGATTCGTCTTGTATAATTTAGATTATATGTACTTCTTATAGAAGATATTGTGTGGTTTGAGTTTATTGTTGAAGATTGACATAATGGTGTAAGTTAGGTGATTCTTACTGAAAAATTAAAACTTTGTGTATCAATTTTTGGAAACCTATTCTGTTACTGAATTTTGGTTCTTCAACATAGATGAAGTGATTGGGGCACTTGCTTCTTCTTTTGATTGGAATTTGAAGCAACTCAGTCTCTGTAGACTGTAAAGATAATTTAAGTTTTGGCTCCGATTGTGTTATGCTTTGGAATGACGGAGACGATTAGTTTCGGATCACATGTGAAACTTATAATAGCAGGCACAAAGTTTAATTGTTGTTTTCCCTCTCGAACTTGGACTGTTTAATTTCATTCTCGGGGTTTTGTGGCAGGTTTACGAGGCAGAGTATGTTTCACTGCACGTGAGGAGAAGTAACCGAGCAGCATTCAATCTGTACACAGAGACATTAGGCTACAAGATTAATGATGTAGAGGCAAAGTACTACGCCGATGGGGAGGATGCTTATGACATGCGGAAGAATCTCAAGGGGAAGCAGAACCATCACCACGCCCATGGTCATCACCACCATGGAGGTGGATGCTGTTCAGGTGATGCAAAAGTTGTAGAAACAGCTCAAGCCGTAGATGCTAAAGCAGTTTCGAAGTGAGACTTGAAAGCAGGATGACCAAAACAGGTAATTATGAGTATATTGAGGTGGGTTCGCTGGCTCGCTCTAGTACTGCTCACTATTTTCCATTCATATGATTTCGTGTGACAAAAATACATTTGGTGACCACTCTGTGTTACTCCTTTGTCTGTCTTTGGTTGTATTGAAATTTAGCCGTTTTTTTTTTCTATGTATCATGTTTTGGAAATTCCAAGCTTTCATTAAGGCTTTACAACTTCAGCTGGAAATCTTCTATTTGCAAGATAGCAGATCTCTATTGGCAATATAGTACATTTAATTACAAAAAAAATCTTGGCTTGTACAGTTTCCCTTTCAACTTAAAGTTCTTGTGTTCTTCGTATTTGAATATCTTGAAGCACTAGTTTGTGCAGCATCAAAGCTTTCCTGTAGCCATCTGATCTGGGAATTGAGACCAGCATCACGCAGAGCATTCAAAGCTGAGGAATAAAGCCTCGCATCAAGCCTGGTTCCTTCAACTTTCATGTCCTGCAACAGCCTCATCAGCTCATCAATCCTACTGGTTTTGGAGAATACACCAACCATGATTCCTGCCATGGCCCTATCAATCTTTCCTCTGTTCATCCTAAATTCCTGGTAAAGCTCAACACATCTCTCCAACTCTTTTGCTCTATTATATGCACTGATCATACTAGTGTAACTCACCTTGTCCGGCAACACTTTCGCCCTCTTCATCTCTTTCCATATCTTTTCAGCCCGCCTTAAGTCCTTAGCCCTTCCATGCATATCAATTAAGGAATTGTAAATCCAAATGTTGGGTTTACACCCTCTTTGTTTCATCTTAGCCATGAGTTTCACTGCATCGCTTAGCCTCTGTGTTTTCCCATACATGTCCATTATGTTTGAATATGCAACAACACATTTGTCAAACCCCTTCTTCACCATCTCATCAAACAACATTTCAGCCTTATCGTCCTGCTCAAGCCGGCAATATGCATTGATGGCTATTGCGTAAGTCACTTGCCCAGCCTCACATTCTTGCTTCATAGCCCATTCATAAACCTTAATTGCTTCAGCAAAACCTCTTTGCTTACAGAATCCATTCACAATCGCGCAGAGTATGCAATCAGTGACCTTTAATTCGGCCTTTATCATCGCTGCCACAACCTCTAGAGTTCTCTCCATTTTTCCTTCTCGGACATACATCAGTACAACCTTCAAACACATTTCAGGATCCTTCAACAGTTTCTTCCCTCCTGCTTCTTTGAATAGCTTCTCAGTTATTACAACCTCTCGCGCTTCCGCAAAGGCACGGATCAGCATAGAGTACAATTCACTACTTTCCGGAATTCCTTTATCCTTCATCTCCTCCAAAACCTCTAGAGCTTCGAATGCCCGTCCTGATTTTGCAAGGGACGAGCATACAATTGTGTAGATACTGCCTGATTCCTTGGCCAAGAAACTCAACCTCTGACTCTTAACCTCTTGAAATAACTCAACCACCTTTTGATTGTCGCCAATCTTCTCATGTGCCTCCATTATCCTGCAATAACAGCCCGGGCTTGGCTCAACTCCGACAGATTGTTTCAACCTATCAAACACTTGAATCGTGCTACTATACATCTGGAGTTTGTTAAAGCCTTTCATAGCTGCATCAGATGCAGACACCGCCAATGATTTGTCTGATCTAAACACGCTAAGCAAGCAATGTGTAATTCGGAATTTTCTCTCTCTGATGCAACTTCTGATCAGATTCGAACACGTTTGTGCATCAGGCAATGCTTTATGTTCCCTGAGATCCTCACAAAGTGAGACGAGCAAGTTCCAATTCTTGGAACTCACCAAGTAATTGATCAGATGCTTGGTGGTCCTCAACTCAGAGTTCTCCTTTGCCTTCTCGTAGAATTCAGAAGAAAGTTTCCGAGTTTCCGGGTCTCGGAGAAACCTGGATAAGACCCGGTTAAGGTCATCCGGACCAGGTTCAAAAAATGGCCACTTGTCTTCTTTCGGACTCGGTGACTTCTTTTCATCTTCCTCAAGAACCATAGAGCATCGAGACGAGCAGACATGGAAATTGTGAGGCTTTTGGGAAAGAAAGAAAATGGGTTTGGTCGGAGAGGTGAAGCTGTGGGGATTTGCATGGTGGTTCACGGTGGCTACCCACGACCCGCTCGCGATGGCCATGAGTGTGTGTGTGTGTGTGAAGGAGAGAGAGAGATCTCTCTTTCTCTCTCTCTATGTTTTCTTCACTTGTGGATGCTGCTAATTCAGCGCCACGATAAAATTCGACCACACGTTAAAAAAAAAATTTCATTTTTTCTTTTTGGGTATATGGGTTCTGTGCGCAATCGACGAATCACGTGGCGGATTTTAGATTTCATGTAATGATAAGAGTGGACTTTTCTCTGGAGATCGTCTGACGTTTGGGGATTCTTGTAACTGGGCTTTAATGGGCCTCTCTGGTTTGATAACTTATAAACTGATGGGATTGTTGATTTGTAGCAAGATGTTATCATTTAGTATAAGGTTGTTGACTCAACCCTCCTGATATCATGTCTTCTACAAAGTTGCTACTAGTTGAACGTTCAAGTTGTAATCAAGGATTGGGCTTCAGCTATGATTCTAACAGATGGATGTTGTGGAGAAAGTGAAAGAAGGAGAGGTTCCTGATGAAGCAGATGACTATGTGGAGAATATTCGATCCTTCTTTTTTTTTTTTTTTTCCCGATATTCGTAGTTTTTACAAGACTGCCTTCATCCGATCAATGCTCTGATTCCAAAGATTATAAATGCATCATTTAAGTCTTCGTTTTGTAATATTTGTCTCTGGACAAAGGAGAGATCTCACTGTTGCTGCTGAACTCATTGAAGCTAAGTAGAGAAAAGAATATACCCATATACAGAAAGATAAAGCCTGAAATACTTTAACAAGATTTACTACTAAATAAAGTTTAAAAATCAGCTACTTTCCGAAATGAAGAGAGGAATATACTCATATACAGAAAGGAACAAAAGAATAAATTAAAATAAAATATGTACAGAAAGTAATTGAGGGGTCTCAAGTCTCAACAAGAACAAAGAAAAAAAAGGGAAAGTGAAAAAGCTTAACCAACTTGGCTTTTGGCTCATTTAGTTGGATTGTGTCCATGTCACGAGCTTATGGTCTATCCACAATTTCTTCCCACTCCTACTTATACTGACTCTTCACTCTTTCTGTAATTAAAATTGATTTTCAATTTAAATACATTTTTTAAAAACTACTTATTCATTCTGAAAATTTAGCACCTATATAGCCATTTCGAATCATGCATGAAGGAAAAAGAGATAAGCAGGCTAAGCTAGAGCACGGCGAACTCTAGGGGTGGTCACAGCAACACGGCCACTTTTGATCATATCTTGCCTAGTTTTTATCACTTTGTCTTCGAAGAATCTGCTTTCCGGATTTTCGGCATAGCACGTGTAGTAGCAACCTACGCAGGCGTGAGGCAATGCCATTGAGATCCTGGTCTGTTAACACAATCCACAAAAAGAGGATGATCTATGATGAGAATACTATTGAATCAAACATTTTAGAGTTGAAAAGTTAAAAGTGTAATTTACCATAAGGTATCCAATGAAGAAGGCAAGTAAGGAGATGGTGGCTGTAAAAGGTTTGTAAACTGTATGAGTCCAAGCGGCTGCGGCAATTAAACAGACGCAGCCGCTGCAGATGCCCGTGAGGAAGCAAATGGAGCTTGTTATGTCTGCATCTACGATTTCAACCATATCTTCATCCTCAAACAGTTTCCATGTGTCTTGCGACGCCCTCACAAATCCTTTCCCATAAGCCGCTATCTGTAACAACAATACATCAATACGGTTTACTGTAAAAAACACTTCCTAATGGTGAACAAAAAGTGATTTTGTCTAGTTTGTTCCGTCCATTGTTACCATTCAAAGCTCAATACTATTGATTCCAAAAACTTCACATTACTATTTTTCTGATTCAAAATAATTAATAAAAATGCAGAAAAGCATGTGGTTGTGCCTCGACTTGTCAAGATGATGCAAGATTCTCATATCAGAAAAGAAATAAAAAATTAGACCCACCACAAGCAACTTGATTTCAATACTATTCCTAGACTGATTCTCTGTCAGAAGATATTATATAGAGAAACAAAATGACTGCAGCAGATTTAAAGAATTAAGAAAGGGGCAGTGGGAGTGGCATGACTTAAAGAATTAGTTTATGTACCTGTACAAAGGCCCAGCCATTGCCATGTTCGAATATGAAGTCCATGAGTCTGAGACAGCAATTAGCGCAGCAAAACATAAACTCGTCTTCACCCTTGAGCAAATTCAATCCTCTTGCCAAGATTCTTAAGGCTTCTATTGTTGGAACAAACAAAGATCCTAAACACGCACTCCCGAGGTTACGAGACAAGGCCCTTTGGAAACTAAACCGGGTACTAGACTGCATTCCCCTAAGATAGTACAAAGCAATGACCCGACTGACAGTTAGATTAACAATATTCCTCATCACTTCTGTCGTCCAAGCCAGGCTTAACACCAAACCAATAATCACAAGTGGCGGAAAATAGAAGTTCAAGGCACCAATGACACCGAAAATCCAAAGAGACATCCAGAGGAAACCAGCAGCTAGCATGTAGTAGGTGGGCAAATTCAAATCCGAGAACTTGGAAACAGGTTCTAACGACTTGACCAAAATCTTAGAACAGAATTTGATTCTGCGAGTGACCCAGCAAGCATATAAACCATTGCCAATTGAGAATGCGATGAGGCAAACCCCAACAGCATCGGTAGTTGGCATCTGGAAACACAGTAAGAGGATTCCTGAGGAAAGAGACATCAAAAAGGTACTCCAAAGTATGAAGTGAATCATGAAATCAGGCCAAAGCCTGAATGCCATCTGCCATAGGAATGCAAGAATGATGCTCAAGAGCGATGCAGCTTCGACTTGTGGAAGTAAGAATCTGAGGATCTTTTGCTCTTTCCTTTTGACGCTACCATTGGATCCAATTAGACCTTGGACGCCTCTGAAGACAAGGAAGCCTACAAACCCAATAGCCACAACCTTGTGAAAGATGAAGAGCAGCAGAAAGAACTTGTTTGTGTACTTTGTGGAATTCAATGATGCCAACGTTTGCTGCAACCAAACATAAATTAGGAAACTTCAACTTACAAACTTGGAAATCCTAACTAAATTATAAACAAGACCCACCAAAAATTTTCAAACAAGAGTACAAATTTAAGGCCTCCAAATGTATCAATTTCTTCCAAATCTCTAGAACCAACCAAATACGGATTAATTCACAGGAAAAATGAAAACTTTCCGACTGAAATGCAAAGTAGAAAGGAAATTACTTGAGGGGTGGGTGTGAAGATGGAACGAGTTTGATGTTGATTTGGCGGCGGAGGAGTCTGAGGCTGAGGTTCTTCTTGAACGAAAGTAGGAGGCGTCTGCGGCCGTGGTGGCGGCGGAGGAGGTTGTCTAGAGGAAGATCGGATTGGTTGGGCGAGATTGGGAGGCGGAGGCGTAGTGAATCTAGAGCCGCCATTAACAATGATCCTAAGAGGGTTAGTTGGGTTTAATCTGTTCAAGCTCGCCAAAAATCTATGATGACTGATTTCATCTTTATCCTTTGATTCTTCTCCTTCCTCCTCCACTGCCTTTGCTTCTCTTTGCTTCTCTGTTTCTTTCCTATCTCTCTCCACTACCGCCTTTAAGCAACAACCAAAAAAAAAAACTGATCGTTAATAGGATTACTCAGCAACAACCAAATAAAAAAGAGAAATTTTGCTGGGAAATGCAGCAGATTCGGACACAGATATCGTACGGGCTCAGTGGCACCCATTGACTGGTTTGGTGACGTCACTTTCCGGCGACGGCGGTCGTCTATCTGTCGTCTTTGGAATGTTTTGCAAAAAAAAAGTTTCTTCTTTTCAATAAAAAGTCGGAATAATTTTTGATTACGTTATTTGTGTGATTGGATGTTACTGTTTTTTGTTTTTTTAACCTTTTGATTTACTTTTCAATTTGGTCGTAGCGTTTCAGGAAAAACGGTCTATTTTCCCACGAAAACTATTGATATCATACCAGATAGAGCTCAAACTTTAATCTCGGTCCATATGTCCATAAAATCAAAGTTCTATTCCTATTTCCCTCCTAATTGAAAGTTCCATACCTTAATGTCCCCGAGTCAATAATTAGAGAGCTAAAACTCCACGGAGCTGGGTTAAATCGGTTTACGAACTAAACCTGATAGAAAACCAAACAAACTCAACATAACCGAAATTAAAACCCAGACCCAATCTAAAACCCAACCATAAGTCACCCAAATTCTTCTTCTTCTTCATCGAATCTCTTTAATGGTTTCACCACTTCTTCTTCTTCACCAAACCACTTTAATGGCTTCGTAGCTTTCACCAAATCACCAAATTTGTTTAAATCACCAAATCACCAAAGCACCAGCTCCAAAGCCAAATTTAATTAACCTCCATTGACGCACATTATTAGGATCTGCCTCTTTCATCTTTGGAAATCTCTGAATATCGGTCCCTCCTTCCTCGCCAGCATCGCATCATATTTATGTTCTCCTCTAATCATTAGATTCAGACTTTGGCTAATGAGTTCGTCACATTTGCAGCGCGATGGACATAATTCTAGAAGACAACCAAAACAATTAAGGTGGAAATTCTCAGAAAATCTCAATTCTAAGATCGTAATGATGATGTTCATCTTCGAGGTTGCTCCTAAAACGGAAGTCAAATTTAATCAATCTTAATTCCATATGAATAAGATTACGTGAGAAAATAACAAGTTAGATTCTCGTTTCTAGGGTTCTTCAAGACAAATTGTTCTTCAAACGAATCTGATTTTGGCATATGGGCTTGGTTTTACATCTAACCGGGTTGTTATCGGGTTTAATACGGTTTAGTATTTTTGTTAGGTGGTTAAATAAACAGTAAACCAAACAAAACCGATGACAATGGGTAATTTAGATGACATCTATTATTTCGGGGAGATATAGGATGAAATCTATTGTTTCAGAGAGACATAGATTGAGAAGTAATTTTTCGGAGACATCTGAATCGTGGTCATAGATTGGGATCTATCTAGTATGATGTCATAGTTCTCGTAGAGAAATAGACCGTTTTCCCAGCGTTTCAATGGTAGTAGTACAAAAGAAGAAGACTCTACCAAAAGATATGACATGTGCAGATCTCTCAGCGCGTGAGCAACAAACGCTCTCTCTCTCCATAATGTAAAAGTCTGCGTTTTTGTTTGTTGTTCCACTTTCATCTGCATGTTGTTGGAAAAAAAAAAAACACGTGAAGATTGTTGTTGTTGACAAGGAGGAGATCGTTATCTTCTGTATTGACGTGTAAGCTACAACAACGTCAAGAAGCGACACGTCTGCATCTTTTTGACCAGAGATGGACGGTTGCGATTTCTTGTTTCATCGTGATTGAGTTCCGTATAAGAGTAGTGACTCAGGATAGGATTTGTCGATATTATTCGCGAAACATCATGTACAAAAACATTATTAAATCCTTCTTACAATACAATGGTTCTGACTTCTGACACATTACACAAAGAATTTTGTGAACAACTTGTTCAAAAATGTTCAAATAACATATAGAGGAATGAGGATGATGACAACAAGTGTTTTTTTTCCCCTGGACACATTTTAAACACATTTCTAATCTAACTTTGCATCAGACAAATTCTATCTATAATAAAATACAATAATCCGATGATGTAATTTGAATACCATCAAAATCTTCAACATTTTCTACTGTTGTGTTTCAGCTAGAAACGGTTTGAATGTCATTAGAACTCCAAGTGCCAAGACCACATTCAGGATAAAGAATACCATTTGGGTGCCTACACACATTGATCATAATTTTTTAGTTTGAATTCTCAACTTATATAACTAGTTGATGATCAATATGGATATGAATATAAAGACTTCACATTACCAGGGAAGAAAGCAGCATCTTGACGTTTCTCGCTCCAAGAAAAACTGCACGAAACAAAGGAGAGAATTTCTTGTTGTTTGTTTTATAACAAAAAATTTGAAGCATAATAATGTAAAAAAAGAGGTAGAAGAAGTTGCATATATACATGATTCCTGCTGCTGCTGGGCCTATTGCTTTAAAAAGAGACATCGCTGTCATGGCAATCCCATTAGCTGCTCCTCTTTGGTCTTGTCTCTATTATTGTTAGTAAAATTAAAGAGGTTCAAATTATTGCCGGTTTCTCACCTAACTAAATACTAAAACGAATCAATGTTGTGAAAAAGACTTACCACAGCATTGTTTTGAAGGATGAATAATCCAGTTATAGCAGAAGTCTGCACTCAAACACACACAACTGTTGAGAATATAAACTAATATATTAATTACACATTCTTCTGATTGAGGTTATCAGAAACTTACACTTAAAACGTTCTTTGCTACCGATGCAGAATTTACCGCCAGGGTAAGGGCTAAACCAGATAACTTTGCTATTAGGGGGTAACATGATAAGATGACCATTGCCAGGATCTGTGAGTATCAAAAACATTCACAAGATTAGAACTGTCCTCCTCAAAACCTAAGGTTTTGCAGTAAGAACAACAGAGTATAGTGGTTACCCCAGATATACGTGTAACTATGATGGGTCCTAAAAGCCTCTCCGCGTAAGAATAGAGCGAAAGCTGAAAGATAAGGAGACCAAAGCCTAGAAAGAAGTAGTGTTTTGGTTAGAACAATTCACTTCTATTGAAAATTTTAGCATTGAGAAGTATGGACTCACCTGAAATTGCAAGAACAGAACCAACATCTGCAGTGGAGTATCCCAAACCTCCATATTTCCTCGGGCTGTTTGCCCACAATGAAAAGATCTATCCAAGAAAGAAAGCTGAAGATTTTATTCATGGGCCAAAATAGAGACAAAAGATGGATGTGGAAGAAGAAGAATGTCACCTCTGTGTAAGCCATATCATGTAGTGAAAAGACGCAATAGACGATAATAGATGAAATTAGCGGCCAGTTGTTCAAGAGAGAACTTTTTTCATTTCTCTCTACCACTTTGTTAGATTCAGGGTCATGAGACAGATATTTGAGAGCATCAAAAGAGTCATCATCATCAACATACTTGTGATTGTGCAATGTTTCCTGGAGAGGAGAAACAACCATTTCTAGGCTTCAGCTAATTAAACACAATAACTAGGGAATTCATAAAGCAGGAAAAGCTAAGCGCGTACCGGAATCCATAATGATATGATAGTCACCAAGAATGCAAAAACGGATATTGCAAAGCACGGCAAGAAGAAGGGAAATCTGCATTATGATTTATAGACCAATAAGATGGGATTATATATATATATATATATATATTAGTTGAAATGAAAGTGAAGAGGAGATACTTACTTGCCAAAAATCGAGTCCTGTGAGAATAAACTTGGATATTGCGTTGCAGGCTACATGATAGGGAGAGTAAACAAGAATCAAGAAGGGCAAAGGAGGTAGAGTAAAAAAAAAAAAAAAGAATTTGTTATTGAAGAAGACCTGAGCAAGAAAACCTCCAATAGCAGGGCCAATGATGAGTCCAATTCCCCATGCTGTACTAACCTACATGGATATTGTAAGATTCTAAATTTCTCTATTCAATTGGAAATAACAAAGATGTAGTAGACTAATTTGGATCAAGGAGCTTACTGCTGAGAGTGCTAAACCTTGATACTCATCACGGAATATTTCCATTGCGTAAGCCTGAATTCATCGATTTTCGGGTTAATGAGGCTTCAAAGAATTTCATGGAATAAGATGTAAAATGTTAGAAAGGAGAAGACCTTGATAGGGCCAAGTAAACCGTTGAAACTACCGAGGCAAAATCTTGTGATGATGGCCATCCAGAAATTTAAACTTAGGCCAAACAGAGTATTGAAAACGACCCTGTAACAGCATATAAAGCATTGGTTTTAAAGAAATAAAACAAAAAGGCAGTGAGAGATGAATAAGAAACAAATGCAGGATTACTAACACTGAAGCTGTTCCAATGAGGATTACGGGTTTTCTACCATAGCGATCAGCCACAAGTCCCCAGATCACAGATGTAAACGCTCGTCCGAGCATGAAAGAGCAACCTCCAAAAGGTACAACACAACAATGTGAGTTTGAAACACTTAAAAAAAAAAAAAAAAGAGATTTTATCTTATACGCTGAAAATAGACGACTCACCGACAAATCCAGCATAGAAACCAATGTCCTCTTCCTTCTTTGCAATGTTAAAATCATCAATCTACCAAGAAGAAAACCAGATTATACTGTTATTACAAGTTTTTAATAATCACCAAAATCCAAACCACCACGTACCAAAAGTTCTAATGTATGTCGCGACGAGTAAAGTAAACTAGTTTAAGGATTTATTGATGTGGGTACTCACCATAAAGTAAAGGAATGGGAAAAGAGAAGAAATGGGCAGAGCTGAAATGATGCAAAAGAAAAAGAAGCAAATCATTTATTAAGTAAGATAAGAAAACATCTTCTTCTTTTTTTCTTTTGTCAACGCCAAAACATTTCTTCTTCTCCATGAAATTAATCAGTAAGTAGTTAAATTTACCAGTGCAAAGAACGATGATCCAAACCGTAAAAAGCTCCCATAAGGGGAATCCCCGACGAAGCCTCTTCATCTGATCAACTTTGCAGCCAGGACAATCCTCATGGAACTTATTCTCTAGCAAACACTCCGTATACTCTTCCGCCATTTTCTTTCACACACCTCTAATCGAATCAAATCCTAACCAAAATTTTGGGGGGGATGTGGTTTTAATGAGGGCGAAGAAGATGCGATGTGGTTTTAATGGTAGTAAGATTTTCACGTACTCTCTTCGACAAAAGACGGGAAAAAAAAAAACAATTATTTAACAGAGAGAGAGAAAGAGAAGAAGAAGGAAAAACCAACTTTGTATTTTGCGCTCTTCTCTAGTCGCTATTGTCATGTCATGTCACGTCTTGCTAATCACATTGGCATTTAATGTTTCTTTCCATTTAATAAAAAAAATTTAGCCTCGTCAGTCGCCACCGTTCAACCATACTGTCATAAAAATGTCAATTTCTTACATATTTAGATGCGACTTGAAAAATATAATGTTTTTGTGTTACTCGAGAGTATTGTTTATTATAAACTTGTTTATCGTAAAATCTTTTTGAGTTACGTGAATTATCGTTTAATCTATAATCGTTTCCTGTTGTTGTTAAGATTTGATTGATTCATTGAAGACCACATTTTTATTATATGATAATAAGAGGACTATAGCTTTGATTGCATCTGTCCAATAATGTGATGTAATGGATGACCTAATACGACAAGAGGCCCAATTCTGTTTTCAAGTTCCTTAGTAAATTCTAATGCACAGATATTGGCAAGATGTAGAATGGTTTCCACAAAAACATCAGACCACGTTCATGGGATTTCTCTTTCACATATTACAGAAATTTTTTTTTTTTTTTTTTTTTTTTTTTTTTTTTTTTTTTTGAAAATAACTTATATTAATATACCCAACTACCCAAATGGGCTTGGGCCAAGGCCTACACAGAAAATCGAAACAGTTACAAAAATGGTTAAACGGAAAACTCGCCGGAAAAATCAAAAAGGCTCGAATCCTGTTGATCATCTGCCGCAAAGAGACCGGAACCTTAGATCCGGCGAAATCAAGACCACAGCTTCGTGGAAGCCTCAAAGGAGCTAGAACACAGCCGAGAGATTTCGGTTCCCGACCACACTCGCCTTCCTCCGACGAACCAAGCCCGCCACAGATCTCCCAGAAAGCTAGCCCCTCCGACAGCAGGTTCGACGACGACGAATCCCGACCTAGCAACCCGACGTACCTGGATTTATCCCCAATTTTCTTAAACCAAACCTTTCCGATTAACCAGAGCCAATAAAACTTCAATCCGGGCTTGTGGATGCCAGAAGCGGCAGATCCAGAAGATGGTGGCTCAACCAAACCTCTGAACCCAGAACCCGCACCAGCCATCTAAGCTCCGAGCCACCGGAACTACCGTTAACCACCTCGCCAAACAACGCAACCCACCAGACCCCATCAACTTCCGCCGTGGTCGCAGCGAACGGAGCAGCGGTTGAGCCTGAGGAACTTTGAAGCAACCACAGCGTCCTTTAAACCGTGACCCACCGCTGCAAAATTCCTCCTCCGCCAAACCGAAGCCACAGCCACATCGATGAGGAGACACCACACCACCGCTGACGGAGAAGCTTATTGACTCACTCCTGATCGACCTCTGAGAGTCCTTGACCGGCGATGAAGAACAGATCTAACAAGAGAAACTGGATCTGAAACTCGTCTGCAAGAGAGAGAAAATGGCACGATTACCAAAGCAACGATTGTGCTTTTTTTTTTTTTTTTTTTTTTTTTTTTTTTTTTTTTATATTACAGAAATTAGTTGCCACTGGTTTAGTAATAACTAGTGTTACACCCGGTGCTATGCACCGAAAAATAATATTCTGTTACATTTTATCTCTGTCTATATTAAAAATATTTTATCAGAAATTATTAAAATGTATTTTTGTATATATTGTGGTTGGAATGCACACAACATTATTAGTCTTCCAAAGATTTATCATTAGTTTCTAACCGTAGAATTCAATGGTGATTTAGAGAATATATACAAAAGTAGTAGAATAAATTTTTTTTTTTTTTTTTGGGCAAAGTATAATAAATTTTTTATTCAAAGAATTAGCTAGTAATACAAAGCATAATTTAGATTAATATTCAAGGTGTTAGACACAAAATTTATCCTATTGACGCTGACTCAATACATACTTACTGTGTCTAATTTTCTATTTCATCATCTAGAGCTATTTCGTCTTCTACTGGATTCCTCGTTCCTCATGTTTATTGGTTGTCACTTGTCTACTCCTCATCTTTGCCTTAGTTTTCCTCGTCTTCATGTTCAGTTTCTTTTTTAGGTTAGCTGTTTTTTTAGTCATTATCTTCGGGCTCGTCTAATTAAACGTTATTTATTATCTTCTGGTTTCTTCTAATTCACCTGTTAGACAACATTAAGAAGTAAAAAAAGCTTTAGAGCACCATTATTGGTGGTTTCTTAGATGGTTCTTAACTTTTTTATTTTAGAATTAAACATTGAAAAATAAATCAAAACAAATTAAAATGCTAAGATTTGACTCTTAGCTAAGAGCTTTTGGGAGTGTTAAGAGCTAAGATTTGACTCTTAACTTACAAAAAACTAAAATTTTAATATTAAACAACGTTAAAAGATATAGTTAAGAACCCCCTGTTAATGATGGTCTTAGCAAGCGATGGCAAGAACCCAAAAACACAATAAAATCATGAGAATGCAAACAAATATTAAAAGTCATATAGATTGATATATAAAAGAGGAGACATGCTGATAAATGCATATCTTCACAATATATTTTACATAAAAACATTGCAAAAGAATATTTTTTTGGGAGAATTATAGCTCTTGTTCTCATAAAAGGATACACATCTTCTTGCATTTTCAACGCCAATTACAATGACATTCAATCATTAGCAAAGACTTTCAAATAATCAAGGATCTCATATGAAAAAAAAATACCATACACGATTTGTATCGCATGAGAACAGGAACAAAATTACACCTTCTTCTAATGGTATGAGAACATAAAAATATTTTGTGATGCTCGTTGGTATTGGTCACTGAATAGTGTTTTATTCTTCCTAAAACAAAGCAGAGAGTTAAAGTGTATCAGATGCATAAAAATTGATAATTTGCTTATAATATTTAACAAAAAGGAAAAAGATAGAAGAATTAGTGATTACCTTGTATTTCCTTGGCATTTGATTTAACATCTTTCACTCTTTGTCATCTCTTATGTAGCTCACCTAAGTTCATAAGATGAGGGTCAACTTTATGAGAATCATGGTGACATCAAAAAAATAAGGATATAAAGTAGGGATGACTGGAAAAGTTACACACAGGATAGAAGTCGCATTAGTCGAACTTGTACGTGCTCCAGGGATATGCGACCAATGGATTGATAACATTTGGCCGATCTCCGGATGTTGCGTCGGCGTCTTCATCATATATAAGAAACATTGAAAAATCTACCGATGGAAGGCAATATGGATAGGGAAAGATTAGCCGATTAGCCTTAACAATCTCCAATCTCCAATATGGATAGGGTCGAGACAACTATATCTGAGATTTTCTGGAAATATAAGCGATGCTCTAATAGCAACCGCGTCGACTGTTGGCGAGAATTTAAAGATAAAAAATTTTGCGAGATCAAACAAATAAGTTTTGAGTTTATGGTGAGTTAAATTTATAGAAGAAGATGAAACAGTTTCTACGATCTAGATCGTGAAAACGTGGTGATGGTGTTGGAGAAAATTTAGGGATTTTTAAGAAGTTATGTTTTTTTTTTCATTTTTTTCGAACGACCTCAATTTTATTTTAATTTTTTTTTTGAAATTTAAAATTACAAAAAAGGAATCAATGTGGCATAATCTTATTGGCCATGTGACTTGTACTTTATAAGATAAAAGATGCCTTTCGAAGAGTTTGGTTCGAGTGTTAGACAAGGAAAACAGCCAAAATCAATTCCAATTATTTATATGCGGGGTGTGACTGTTAACATTTTATAGAAGAAAAATAAAGAGAAAAATTACAATTCTTCTATTTTCTTCTAAAAGTTAACCAGTCAAATAAAACTTGGAAGAATTGTTTTTTTCTCAATTAAACCCAAAAGTAACATAAAAGGGTTAAAACTTCCTACTACAATTATATGAAATAATTCTTCTACCTTTTAATTTTATTTTCTTCTAGCTTTTTTCTTCTTTTTTCTTCTAACTTTAACCAGTCACATCCGCAGTTTTTTTCAACTCAACTCTGATCCCTGTACTTTTCAACCCGAACACACATAAATTTCAAATAATAAACCTGAACTATATAAATGTTAGCCAATTTCAACATATACTCAGTTATTATATAATGTAACAAATATAAATTATGTAACGTTTAGCCAATTAAAAAAAATGAATGATTCATACTCAAAAGAGCAGATAATTACGACTTAGCCATTTTAATCGACATTAACAAATACAAAAAAAAAATTATGTTGAAATTGGCTAACAATTATATAGTTCAGGTTTGTTATTAGAAATTTTTGTAGGTTCGGATTGATAAGTGCAAAGGGTCAGTTTAGATTGAAAAAAATTGCATAAAAATTAACTTTTTCGGTGGTTTTTCATGGTGGACCATAAAAAATTCAATAATTGTAACTTGTGAATTTTTGTCAAAGTTCAATTTTCTTAAGTTAGGTTTATAATCTCTTGACCACGTGTTTCTTGTTGTTAGCTTTTAGTATTCAATTGGTTTTCACTAGTAAGTATATAATTTGAATTCTTCTGATAAATCAACTCAATCCAGTAGTATAAGTGAGGTATTTAGTTAGTTAGAAATAATTTAATTAAAATCATCAAGCAAATATTGTCAAATTTAGAAACAACATCTCCAAAATATTATCTACCTCTTATTTTTCAAAATTAAATTAAATTAAATCAAATTGTGGAAGCTAAACAATTTGACTATCTGCCTGTCCCAAAACCAGATAGTTTGACTAGGAATGGCTGCGAACAATCAATAGCCAAAGCGGACCAGAGAAGGTTACTTTAATTAAATCAGTCAAATCGTGTCCTAAAATTAGTTGTCAATAAGGCCAAGAAGAGGTCGGCACTAAAAGTTTGAGAAAATTTGTAAATATATTTACTTGTCAGGAATAAATGTTATTCATCGAGTAAGTAATAAATTAATAACTCAGCTTCGCGATATGTTGATATTACACCCTGTGGAAAATAGGTCACGGTTTAAAAAATTAACGGTTCAAGTAAGTTCCTCTCAGTCTCATCTCAGGCGTGGCGTATATGAAAATATTTGTGACATATCGTCATCGGCCGACTAGATAAACGATTTGTTAACGATTAACACATCACTTTGGGATGGGATCCACGATTATGAGTATAGAATAATCAGACAAAGCAAAACAAAAGGAGTAAAGGACAACAAATAGAAGAAGCTGAAATCCTAAGGTTAGTGAAATTTTATTACGGGTTTCTTTTGAATCTGAATTTAAATGAATCAACATGTCCATACATTCCCTATCTTACCAATTCAAATGAATTTTCATCTTCGACCCGTTACTAGAAAAGGCTTGAATGTGAGAGCTACTCCAACCACAACTATCACATTCAAGACGAAGAACACCATATGCGATCCTGCATACGTTTTCAATTTAGTTGTCATAAGCACAAGTATTATGAATGACCAAATGGGGAAGTAATGCCATACCTGGTAGAAATGCAGCGTCTAGTCGCCTCTCGCTCCAAGAAAATCTGACAGCAAAAGAGATTTGTGTTTAAGACATTACTGCTTCTTTAAATATTTACTTAAGCGTTAATTCGAAATGTCACTTACAAGATGCCAGCACCAGCTGGTCCAACGGTTTTAAAGAGAGACATCGCAGTCATAGCTATTCCATTAGCCGCCCCTCTTTGGCTCTGATCCTGTTGTTTCATACAAAATACAGTTTTTAGCGAAGAGAAAATTGGATCACAGTTTACAAAGGATTAAAAGAATGTCTGTTTACCACTGCTCTATTTTGAAGGATCAACAGGCCGGTTATGGCAGACACCTATATACACAGAGACTATCAGTCAGCCTGGATATATATATACGAGAAATATAGTAACATGACCTCATTTCCTGTATATGTCAACTAAATACACTCAGAGGATAAAGAAAGAAAAGAGTTAGTTTTTGCTTTTGAACTTACACTTAGCACATTTATGAGGATTGATGCACAATTTAACATCAAGCTTAGACTGAGACCTGATAAGCTTGCTATAAATGGATAACTCATTTGTATAGGTATCATCAGTGCCTGAAACGAAAGAACTTGTAAGAAGAACGATCTCTATCTTGTTGCATTCAAGTGCACTATAATCTGTAAGAGAATGTCAACTGACCCCAGCATATCGGGTGACCAGAACAGGTCCTAGCAGTTTCTCAGCGAACGGATAAACAAATACCTGAAAAGAGAATAGGCCGAGACCTAAAGCAGAATTGTTGATGAGTACTATAACACAGTCTCAATTTCATTAGTAAGAATTCTGCTTATTTATGATTGCTTAACTCTCTTACTGATTCAAATCAAAGCAGACTGTAATCATCAATTTCACAATTTCTTATCACTAAAACACTGGACATCAAGAGCGAGGATGTTCTGTATCACTAAAACACAAGACATCAAGAGTAAGGATGTTCTGCATACCAGATATAGCAAGAACTGTACCGACATCATTGGTTGAGTAGCTCAGACCTCCATACTTCCTTGGACTGTTAGCCCATAGTGCAAATATCTGCGTAGCCAGTTTTCAAGTGATGGAGATTTTTTTGGTCAGACAAATAGCTCAGGACAATGAAGTGGCTAAGGCTCTAATTTCAAAATCATGGAGTCTTAATGCTGTTCAATCAATTTTAGTCTGGTAAGATACTTGTCTATATCTTCAATGGAATCAACATACAAAATAGTCCCTATAACTGTTTTGTATGTTGATACAACAGACCGCACTAGAGAAAAAACAAAAAACAGGTAGTCTTTTTATAGATAAACACATGTAAAGCCTATAACCTTGACACCAAATTCAAGATCTTCAATATCATCAATAAATTAAAAGACTGAAATATGAAAATAAAAGACCTAATTCTTGACTGAGTCCACTTAATGAGGCATGCCAGATGAGAGTACGCATAAAATTCTAGCTCAACTACTTACCTCAGAGTATGCAGTATCATGCAGACACAGAACACAATACACAATGATAGATGACATTAGGGGCCAATTCTTCAAGAGAGACTGAGAAGCCTTTCTTTCGTTTTTTCCTGCCTTCTCGATAGCAGAGGATTCAAGAGATGCAGCTTCAAGTATTTCGTATGAGTCATCATGTGATGTGCTGCCCAGCTTATGATTGTGCAGTGTCTCCTACTCAGAGTAAAAGAAGGAGACTAGTGAGTGAATTCTGTGCAAAAATATTTTAATAAAGAATCAATAAAGAGAAGGTTCTCAGTAGTCTCTCGAAGAAAATAGAGTACCGGAATGAAGCAGCATAGTACTGTCACAACCAAGGCAAAAGCTGATATCGTAAAGCAAGGCAATGCATACCGGAATCTGCATAGCAATTCGCATATTGTTACATGAGATTCAATGAAATTCATTCCACTAAACTCTTAACTGAGGAGTAAGAATGTACACCTGCCAAAAATGGATTCTTGGGAGAACACATTTGGATATTTGTCTGCCGGCTGAATTTGGAGAACATCGAAAAACATTGATTAGAACACTAGAAAGCTATATATGAATCAATAACCAGACAAATTGCAGCAAGGCAAGAGAGATGGACACATGATAAGCTTCGCATTTGTATCATAAGTATGGCAAGGTTTGGAAAGCTAAGAAAATATATAAAACTTAGATATTATGACTTTACCTGTGCTAAAAATCCCCCTAGAGCAGGGCCAATGATCAGTCCAATGCCCCAAGCAGTACTAACCTGAAACGGAGTAAAGTTACAAATTTCATGACACCAACAATCAAAACATATAAAATGTATGTGATGGAGAAGCTTACAGCTGACATTGCTGTTGCTTGATATTCATCACGAAATATTTCTGATGCATACGCCTGAAAAAATTTCACATCGACAATTAGATATGAGAAGATGCAACTGACATTCTAGTGTGCAGAACAAACAACAAAAACCAAGAGTGATAGCAGCAACAAAGAGGTCACCTTCATGGTTCCAAGCAAACAGTTGAAACTCCCAAGAAGAAACCTCGTGCCAATTGCCATCCAAAAGTTAACGCTCAAGCCAAAAAGAGCGTTGAAAATCGCACTGCAACAAACTAACTAATCAGCATCTAAAGGAGAACATGGATACATTAATCAAAATTATGTTAAAGGATACTAACATTGAGATAGTTCCCAAGAGTATAATGGGTTTTCTTCCATAACGATCAGCCACAATTCCCCAGAACACTGACGTCAATGCTCTTCCAAGCATAAATGAGCAACCTTCAGGTAATAAGAGATTAATCAGAAGAAAACGGTAGAGACATAGAGAGTCAAAGTAGAATAACAAGTGACTGAGGCCACTGGCTTCTCACCCACAAATCCAGCATAAAACCCAATATCTTTCTCCGTCTTTGCCACACCAAAATCCTCAATCTATGAAAATAAAGAAGACATGTTAGACGTACTATTGAGAGCATGTGACAAAAGAAGAGTAGAGTATGCGATGTGGTATATACATCATTATCTGTTTAAAACCCCCTAATTGTGTGAATTTGAACAAAAATTCATTCACATGAGCAGGAATACATAAAACGGTAGCTCTTAAACTTTGAAATATCAAATACTCTCACCATATAGTAGAGGAAGGGATAGAGTGAGGAAATTGGCAGAGCTGCAAACACATGATATCAAAATAAGAACGCATGAGGAATTGCAAAACGAATCATTGCTTTCAACACAAGAAAGCTTCCTAAAAACTAGCCAATTTTTATCCAAGACAATTAGCAGCAAACCCAATTTAGCCAATCGTTTTCCGGAATCTCTTCAAACTAGTTGAAAATGCCGAATAGTAAAAAAACAACAGTAGCCGAATCTTAAAGAAAATTGACACAATAGAAACTGTTTTGAGAAGCAAAGAAGGTATTACAAGTGGAGAGGACGATAATCCAAACGAAGGTAAGCTCGAGGTAAGGGTATCCTCGCCGGAGCTGCTTCATCTGTTCCACCTTGCATCCCGGACATCCGTCGTGATACTTCTGCTTATCCAACAACGCCTCCTTGTACTCCTCCGCCATTATTCCAGAACAAGAAATTCACAGCCTAATAAATTCAGAACCTAAAAAATTCCAATTATCAACAAAATCAAGCTTAATAAGCATGGAAAGCAATCGAGAAATGAAGGAAAGAAATCAATGGGGGAAATTTCAAAATCGTAACGGAATATTACAAAATCGGAAAGGAGAAATGAAAGAGTACCACACAGAGATTCTCTCTCAATCGCTGGAGCAGAACGTGTGGGACTGAAAAAGACGATGAGTCACGTATATATGTACAAATAAATGAATTATATATAGTGGAGCTAAAAGGCAAAAAGGTGGTCACCCAAGTGTCACTCATTTTAATCTCTCTTCACATGTTCACGGACCTAAAGCCACCCACCCGCAGTTTTGTTTTTCACCGATCCATCCAAATATAGGTAAACAAAAAAGTTTCAAATTTAAAAAATAATTTGGTTATTTAGATTAAAAAAAAAATTGTAATTTAAAATTAACTTTGTAGATGTTAAATAGTCCGACTGACTAATCGTAGGAAGAATGTTTTTTTGAGGTCACATGGAATAAATAATGCAGACAGGAAGAACCGAAGAAAGAGACGGACAATTGTGATGAAAAAAAAAAAAAAAAGAGACGGACAATTGAAAGTGGGGAGACACATTAAAATCAAGACTAAACAATGTTGTCTTTAAAACTTGGAATGGTTATCTCTTTCAGCAAATCCAATTACTTCACGTGTGTATATTTTAATGAAATATCAACAAGTATCATTTGTCTTGTTAGGTAAAGAGGCATCACCAAAATTAAAGCAGCAGATACTTTAAGAATACTATATATACTCAAAATAACTTTATTGTTAAAAAGTGAAAAAAATAGTATTAAAACTTTAAATCATCAGAACAAAAAAGTAGATAAACTTTGTTATTCATATATATGTATATGGATAAAAGGTGGATTGATTCCTTCTTCGGAATCAAAATGTGTTTCTACCTTTGTTTTCTATCATTGGTTTTGTGTATTCGCATAATTTTACACGACTATTAAAACTACGTTATGCAATCGAATTTTCGGGTTTTCAATCCAAACTGAATTCATATATTTTCCGCAAAACCGCTTGATAAATTACATTTCATTATGAAACCGTTTACAAAACGACTGACACCAATACTTAAACAATACTAATTGGTACTCCTTCTGTTGCTAGAAAAATGGTTTTTTAAAGATTTCACATATTTTAAGAAACAATAATTGTTTAATTATTTATTTTTATTAAACATTTTTAAATAAACTATGAACCAATAGTAATCTGAAACAGTTAATCATTACGTCTTGAAATCTACGATTTATTAATATCAATTAACTAAAGATAAAAGAAAAATTTAGAAAATTAATCTTTGTGGAACAATCAAATTTTTAGGAACCGAGGGAATATGATTTATCAACGCTTCTTACCATCTACATGCCATCTAGACGGCCTTATAGACCATTTCTAAATACAATGATTATTAATTCGTATATCTTTGAATGGCGTCCAATGGTTGAGTCCCTGATTGATTTGGAACTCGTACGAACATACGGCTTTTACCGATTCCATATATATCTAATTTAAAATAGTTTTTTTAATGGTTGTTGTTCTCAAAGACTAATCTTAATATAGTTAGTGGTGGCATAAAATTGACTCCTCTTGTGTTGTGCGTACAGTGCCAAGAAGAGTACTGTGTGTGGACAATTCCACGTCAGCGATAATAGTGGAGCCCACCGTTAGATCACGAGGATTCAGAGAGGTACGCGTGTTGCCCACACAGTTCACCACAGACAAGCTTTGGAACAGCGCGTTGCTCCCACCCTCAAGCACGTGGGGTCTAGATGTTGACACTTGGTCCATTATCTGTCGTTCATCCATCATGTGCGTAAGACAAAACTAGGAATCCAATTTTTATTGGGCCTATCACTATTGGGTCCGAAAATAATTGAATTTTGGGTTTGCACATATTAAGGGTCCGAAAACAATGGAGTTTTTTTGGGTTTGCATATATTTCCGAAAACTATTAATAAGATTTTCCATAAACAAAAAAAATCGGAAGTGTAACATTTTTTGTTTTTACTTTTATTTTGGCGGTAAAAAGGATTCATATCAAATTTTGTCCGAAAAGAGAAAAAAAAAAAAAACAAACCCAACTCCACCCAAATTTAATTGCGGATAACAACTGATATGACACAGAGAGGCTCTATGATAAGTAGTAACCCAAGAGAGAATTATCTTCTTCTTCCATTTATTGGACCAAAAAGAAGATAGATAAAAAAGATAGAAAAATCTAAGGTGTGGGAAGCTCTGCAGCTCATCCATGGCGACGATACCCACTACAGCCACCACAACTATGTGTCCTTCTCCCCCTGTCCCAACAATCTCGACCTTACTCAGAACAACTCACCAATGTCAACCATCTCCATCTTCATCATCCCCATTTTCAATTAAGCTTAGTACAGCTCTGGTTTGCGGTGAGGCCATGGTGGATAGAGCAGATTACACGTTGTTACCGAAGGTTGGTTGTCTCTATTGCAACAGGGTACCAAGGCAAAGGTTTGAATTTGCAAGACCTTATTCAGGAAGGAAGCATAGGGCTGCTTCGAGGTGCTGAGAGATTTGATCCCGACCGAGGATACAAACTATCAACTTATGTCTACTGGTGGATCAAACAGGCCATCTTAAGGGCTATCGCGCATAAATCTAGACTTGTCAAATTGCCGGTGAGCCCCCAATTCTCACATTTTGATAAAATTTTAAGACAAGTATAGTTGCTACCATATATAGATATTAACTATATGTGAACCAAGTCATCTTCTACTGCTAGATAGAAAAATAATCTGCAATGTTGTTCTGGGAAGTGAAGTAATTAGTGAATACATCGTTTTAGCTTGTTGTGTGTAGGGAAGCATGTGGGAGTTGACGGCAAAAGTTGCAGAAGCTAGTAACGTTTTGACCAGAAAACTAAGAAGGCAACCGAGCTGTGAAGAGATTGCAGAGCACCTAAACCTTCATGTATCTGCGGTTAGACTCGCTGTGGAGCGTAGCAGATCCCCTGTTTCGTTGGACCGAGTCGTGTCTCAAAATGGCCGCATGACTTTGCAGGTACTTGAGTTTTCCATGAAAATGCATAGTAGAGAGAGACTTTGGACTGATTTATCATGTTCAGGAAATTGTACGGGGACCTGATGAAACAAGGCCAGAGGAGATGGTGAAAAGGGAACACATGAAGCATGAGATTGAACAGCTTTTGGGAAGTCTTACCGCGAGAGAATCTCGAGTATTGGGACTTTACTTTGGGCTCAACGGAGAGACTCCTATGTCGTTTGAAGAGATAGGTAAGTCGTTGAAGCTTTCGAGAGAGAGGGTAAGGCAAATCAATGGCATTGCTTTGAAGAAGCTACGGAATGTACATAATGTGAATGATTTGAAAATATACTATTCCTCTAGTGAATAAAAGCAAATTGGTTATTCACAATCATTAATAGCAATTGAAACTACAAGAGCAGAGCAAACATATATATTGGATAATTGGGTCTGTACATAAGAATGGGTTCATGTCTCTCCTTTGTGGAGATTATGGAGGATATAAAGAGAAGCAGAGGACAAGAAGATGCAAACAGAATAACTGAGCAAATCAAGACCGGTGGCGATAGTAACCATCTTGCTTCTCTCGAACATCTTCACTAGAAGAATCATAACAATGACATGTCCCACTTTGGTTTTCAGCTCATCAAGTGAGCTAATCTTCATCCATTTCGGTCTCTCCTTCATTGCAAACATACCAAAGAGAGAAGAGGATCTAAGGGCACGATCGGATTCCGGAGGAACATCATGAGGCGAGTGACTGATGAAGAGTCCATACAAACCCATACTAAATATTAACATAACAGTCCCAGCCAGATAAACATCTGCAATCAGATTTCACACACAAGTAAATATGATATTATAACGAAACAAACCGGGCTTATATCATAATCATATATATAGCAAAATAATTATACCGATAGCTTCAACTAGGCGTAAAACCATTTGGCCGGTATGGATTCCTTTTGCACAGTTAGTCCAGTAGACTTTATATGCCTCCACTATATAGACACACCCCTACAAAATGAGCCATGACATTAATACTACTACTCAAATGGTGTATGTTTAATGTGTGACAAAACATTTCAGACTAAACTAAACAACAAGTTAGTTACATTGAGGAAGCAGAGTAGCGAACCAGCTAACGAACCTCCTACTGCCAAAAGCGCTAGGAACCGGAAATCAAATATTATCTGCTCCATCCACAAATATATCAGAATTCAGAAAAAATATTCCAAAGACTTTAAATCAATACAGAAGAAAGAAGAGACAAGGTTTGATTGATTTTACCCTCTCAACGTTGGATTCGGTGGAACGAAAGAACTGAGCAAATGGGCTGTTGTCTTTGCGAGTTGTTCCGTAAGAACTAGGTACCGTGTTCCCGTTGACGGGAATCGAGGTAGGGGTCGATGATGATGCCGATGACTCCGGAGAGGACGATGAGCCAAGAGTTGCTAACGGCAAGTGGAAACGACGGCGCGTGGGTAAGACGAGATATCTCGGCACGGAAACGGAGATCGGAGTGGCTGAGATCAACGAGCAGAGAGCCATAGATAACTACTTGTCTAAAGAGTCAAGAGTAAGTTGGTTATGAGGGCCGGAGGACAAGTAGTAGAAGAAAGATCGGCCCGTCGGCTGGGGAACGCGGAGGATTAGGCGGGAGAGAAATATGTGGTGTGTGGATGAAGTTGTTTTTTCTTTATAAATTTTTTAACTAAAACGGTCAATCCCTACATTAATCTTGACATAGACTAACTACTAGTTACTTCCAATGTGAATTATATGATAGATTACACCTTTTCTAGTATTGTTGTTGTTAATAATAGTGTACATGTAATCAAATCCGATCATAAATGTTATTGATAAACAAAAAATCGGTTCGCTAAAATCAGAATCTGGAGTTTAGAGGTTAAAGAAGTAGTGAACTAGTAAAATTTCTGGTTAATATAACTAATTTTTCTTTATACCAGAAAATATTTAACAGAAATTTATACTAAGTTTGGAGTTCTAAGAAATTCAAATATTCTTCCTACTAAAAGTTTAAAACATTCAGGGTGGCATAAAAAGTAGTAGGTAGATTCAATGTTTGATCTAGAACCATTTAAAATCATTTAACCACTCGAATGTCGCGCCTGATCTCGGTTGGTGGTGTGAGTGAGATGCTATTCTCTCCGTTTCAAAATATAAGGCGTTTTAGCTAAAAGCATGCCGATTAAGAATATCTATTTTTTAAAAGTTCAGCTAATTATAAAAAATGCTGCATAAAAAAAATAATCATAAAATATTAAAATAATATATAATTTACATAAAAACTTGAAAACGCCTTATATTTTGAAAAGGAGGAAGTATAATATAAGGTTTTACTAGAAAGTGATAAGATATGAGATAGTGGAGAATATGCTTAACACTTTCATAATTATTTAATTTTGGGCAAGCAGAGAGGATATAATGGTAAATGCAGCCGTACACTCTATTTGCCAAGCTGGGATTGACGGCTTGTGACCTCTCTAGTTATATAACTAAAGCCAGTCAGGTGTCTCCTTAGCTCTTCCCCACCACTCCGATTCATCTCTATCCCTCTCTCTCTCCTCCAATGTGAGTTCCGATTCAGATTCCTCTTTTCTCCTTGATCCATATTCTGATTCCGTCTCGCTTTTTATGTGATCCGCTTTTTTGCAGATCTCGTCCGTTGTTGCACAAGTGCTATGGATCTCGCGTCGAATCTAGGTGGCAAGATCGATAAATCCGATGTTCTCACCGCCGTCGAAAAGTAATTCTTCTCACTTTTTCCTAGATCGTAGTTTACTTGTCCGATTCACTTACAGTTCGCGTTTTTCGTCTCATGCATAATTGCATATTGATCTCTAATTTTGTTAACCGCGACGTATCGAAATTGACTTGTAAGATCAACATTGGATTGTTGTTATGTGTAGTATCTCCATATTTTTGGAGTCAACGTAAATTAGCCTATTTCCATACGTTTATTCTTTACCAATTTCCACGCATCCGTGATGGCAGTGGATTTCGCCTCTGTTTTTTTTTGTTTTGTTTTTAATGCTTTCATGGAACTGAGCTTTCAATACAGCAGAAAAAAGATGACTGATTGAGATGGTCCCTAGTTTCTTTTTTGGCTCTATTAAATAACCATTTGACGTGTATTTCACTACTCTCACGTTCTCGAGGGCCCGACCAATCTTATTGTCATTGACTACACCCCCTCTACATCTATCTATTTAGACCAATTCATTTTTTTTTTGTTAGTTCTCTAAGATGCATCATCTTAAAATTTCCTGTCTGGCCTGTGGTGGACTTTTTCTTGGACATTATTAATTTTTACTAATTCGATTCAGGTATGAGCAATATCATGTCTTCCATGGAGGAAACGAGGAAGAGAGAAAAGCAAATTACACTGACATGGTAAATCCATTTTCTTTTTTCCACCACCTCAAAACATGCCCTTTCCTTAATATACTTAACGTTTTGATATCATGTGAGATTAGTACAAAAAAGCCTGTATGCATTTCTCACCTTTGAATGAGCTCATCATTAGTGTTCCCGAAGATTTTATTCTAAATAGATGAGTATTACTTTTAGTATGCTAGGCATTGAAGTACTTGTAAAGATACAAATCATTACACGTTGGAATGAATATTCCTGATATATATATATTTCAGGTTAATAAGTACTATGACCTTGCTACTAGCTTTTATGAGTATGGATGGGGAGAATCCTTCCATTTTGCACATAGGTAAAATTCTTGACTTTCTAGTTAATCACTAGTCTGTTTGAAGTTCTGCAATAAACTTTTCTATCTTGCAGCCATAGATGAGGATGCCCTAGTTATATGTATTGATTAGCATGATTTTTGGGTTTGTAGATGGAAAGGAGAATCGCTTCGAGAGAGTATTAAGCGACACGAGCACTTTCTTGCTCTTCAGCTTGGCATCAAACCAGGACACAAGGTTTGATAACCTAAACTGAGCGCTTGAAAATGGACCCTCCGCTATCAGATGCTCATTTCCTTTATGTTTCTGAGTAGGTACTGGATGTAGGATGTGGAATTGGTGGACCGCTGAGAGAAATTGCACGTTTCAGGTAAAATGACTGCACATACCATAAGCGCACACTCTTTACTTCATGTACTTCTGCTTTACAAGTTTTGAAATAGATTTTCTGGTTAAGAACATAGTTCAGTTATGAAGTGTGTTTGGGTTTACTCTGCTGAACTGTTTGTGTTTGCTCTGCTGCAGCAATTCAGCTGTTACCGGGCTCAACAATAACGAATACCAGATCACCAGAGGCAAGGTAACGTGTCTACATTTGTGAAAGATGATGCATCTCCTGGTCTTTCTCCTTGATGTCTTTTATGATTCATACTGGCATCTTTTTCTTTGCAGGAACTAAACCGACTTGCAGGTGTCGACAAGACATGTAACTTTGTCAAGGTCAGTTGAATTCATAGTTCTTGTATTTACTGCATACGTCGTAAATCATGGTTTGAAACTTTGAAGAAGAAAACACCTTGCAACGGGCAATGTGATGAAGGTTGCTGTCATTTGTTAATCTTGCAGGCTGACTTCATGAAGATGCCATTCCCTGAAAACAGTTTTGATGCAGTTTATGCAATAGAAGCAACCTGCCACGCACCTGATGCGGTATGAGAAATTCTAAACAGCTATTATTGTGTTGTTCTCTTCCCTGTATTATATGATTCATCATTATGATCTGAACAACAGTATGGATGCTACAAAGAGATCTACAGAGTCCTAAAACCCGGGCAATGTTTTGCTGCCTATGAGTGGTGCATGACTGATGCATTTGACCCTGATAACGCCGAACATCAGAAAATAAAGGTTAGTGTGTTCCTTGCATCTATCAATATTATTTATTTGTGCTTCTATTATCAACATGAATACGAACAAAGACTCTATTTTTCAGGGAGAGATAGAGATTGGAGATGGTCTGCCTGACATTAGGCTGACTACAAAATGCCTCGAAGCTCTGAAGCAGGCCGGTTTTGAAGTAAGTATCTGATTTCAGATCCTCTCTATTTTCAAACACATCAACATCTAAATACTATTATTCCGTTGGATGAAGGTAATATGGGAAAAGGATCTGGCCAAGGACTCGCCGGTCCCATGGTACTTACCTCTTGACAAAAATCATTTCTCACTCAGTAGCTTCCGCCTTACAGCTGTTGGACGATTCATAACCAAAAACATGGTAAAAAACTTGCTCTGACTAATCTGCCAAATCTCATCAACTAGTAGTAGTTCATTTATCTGAACTTGTCATTATTATTTATGGGTAGGTCAAGATCCTTGAATACATAAGACTCGCACCTCAAGGAAGCCAAAGGGTCTCAAATTTCCTGGAGCAGGCTGCGGAAGGATTAGTCGACGGTGGACGGTGAGAGGATCCCAACTTATATTTATGCACACCTTCAAGATTAAAATTAGATTTCTCTTTTGGGTCAAATTCTAAATCTCCTCTTGGATCAATGTTTCCCAGGAGAGAGATTTTCACGCCAATGTATTTCTTCTTGGCCCGGAAGCCAGAGAGATGCTCATCGTAGGTCGAGTGAAGTGACAAAAATTCTCAATTGGCAATCTTATTTTCTCTGTTTATCTGAATTCGTTCCAGTGTTTTGATGTCTATTTAGATGAAACTTTGTTGCAACTTATTTATTTACCAATTCTATTTTGGATGTTCGTAACATGTCACGTGTTGTTCATGTGCACTCTTGTCTGAAATCTGAATCATGTGCACATGCCCAAAATATATTGGTATCTCTCTCTCTTTAGATTCCAAAAACCTTTTTTTTTTTTTGTCGTTTTCATGTCAAAGATTCAAAAGTGGGACCCTACTTCCACGAGTCTGCTTGGACATTGCATCCTTTTGATTTTCTGAGATTTTGCTGACACCACCTCCTTTGTCCTCTCCCATAATAATATAGGAAGAATCTTTGTGTTTTCCTCTATGGATCTAATAATAAATTTTTCTGTTGATGAAGGAGAAATGAAGTTGTTGATCGTGAATTGAATTATATACACAGCTAGAAGAAAATAATGACAAAATTAAACAGAAGAAAAATATAAGAATTTTAAAAAACGGCAGGAAGAGTGAAAATAAAAACAAGTTAGAAGAAGAAGTGTTTTTTTTGCTTGCCCGTTGCTCTTTTATAGTCGCTCCATAATTTAAAGCAAGAGTAAAAAATACCTCAACAGTAGTAGTTGCCTAGTTGGTTGGATCTCAAAATCGACTAGGGTTTCGAAATCTCTGATTGAAGAAAATTAAACACCAATCACTAATTAGAAAGTGCATATTTCACAAAAAAAGTATTAATGGGTACAAAACTGGTTCTGGACTAAGTTAGTGTATCTTGGCAGGGGTATTCCAAGGGCCACACACAATGGGATATATCTGATCATTAAGTAGGCGAGTTCGACACCAATCTTTGTTTGAAAATTTTCTTCTTCTTAACATAAATCCATTTAGTGGGCCATCCATAGTATTTTGTGATTGGGCTTTAGAATATTCAGGCCCGGATAAGATATACACCTGAGAGAAACAAAATCGTTAATGATGCCATAAACCCTGACGCAGGTACCGTGTACGCAAGGCGCGTCTAAGACACGCGTTATCAGGTGTTTAAGTTCGAGTAGAAGTAGAAATCCTCTCTCTCCCTCTCTCTCTCTCTATATATATATATATATATATATAAACGGACCCAAACGAAACGAAACGAAACGAAAGAAGCCCTTCTCCTCTCTCGCCCCAACCAACTAACTAACAAACAACGTTTTCGCCTTCTCTCTCTCTAATGTCTACCGCATCCGTCATCATCATCGGCGCCGGAATCTCCGGTTCGTATTAACACATCCATTATCACTCGTCCTCGAACTATCACCATCTCTTTGAGATAATAACTACCGGAATTATATTTTGAAATCAGGAATATCGGCGGCCAAGGTTCTCGTCGAGAACGGAGTAGAAGACGTATTGATATTGGAAGCTACGGATCGGATCGGTGGAAGAATACAGAAACAGAGTTTCGGTGACGTGCCGGTGGAGCTCGGCGCCGGTTGGATTGCCGGTGTCGGTGGTAAAGAGTCCAATCCTGTTTGGGAGCTTGCCTCTCGTTTTAACCTCCGTACTTGCTTTTCCGATTACACCAATGCTCATTTCAATATCTACGATCGAAGGTTAAAAATTGATCACCGATTATCAATGAAATTCACTCCTTAAAGAATCAAGATTTATGTTTCTTTAACCGTTTTTCGTTGATTGAATTTACAGTGGTAAAATCTTCCCGACTGGAATCGCTGCTGACTCGTATAAAAAGGCGGTTGACTCGGCGATTCTGAAGTTAAAGAGCCTTGAAGCTCAATGTTCTTCTGGTCAAGTAGCTGAAGAAGCTCCTTCGTGCGTCTTGATCCTCTCTGTTTTTGCTTGCTGGTTTTCAGATTTTGCTTCGATTCCAATGTTTTTTTGGTTTGGTGTTTACTGTTTAGGTCACCGAAGACGCCAATAGAACTAGCCATTGACTTTATCTTGCATGATTTTGAGATGGCAGGTGAGTTCTTGAGAAACACACATGTTTTTTCACCATATACTCCATAATGTTGCATATTGATTGATTCTTTATTAATACTGGGGTTTCAGAGGTTGAGCCAATATCCACTTATGTGGACTTCGGTGAAAGAGAGTTCTTGGTTGCTGATGAAAGAGGTTACGAATGTTTACTCTATAAAATGGCTGAGGAATTTCTCTTTACCTCTCATGGAAATATCTTGGACAATCGCCTCAAACTAAACCAGGTAAAAATTAAGATCTCTGATATTGATTAGGTTGAGTTAATTAAAAGACTATACTTCTATTTGATGGAAAGCTACTTTTGCTTTTTAGTTGTTGTTACTCTATTCGGTTGATTTGATTTGCATTATCTTTTCTTCTGCTAAGGTTCTCTCAGCCTTTGGTTTCTTGTAGCTACTTTATTTGTTTTGTATACTAGTAACAGTTTTCAATTGGTGGTCTTATTAAGTCGATAGTTTCTTGGGAAACATTATTGTGGGGTATGCATGAATGAGCGTGTTTTATTTATTGCCTCACATAAACCAGCTGGCTTAACTTTGAAAGCTGTGTGTTTATATTACTAGTAATCTATAATGTGATGAAGTTGTGGGAATTAATGGCAGGTGGTTAGGGAGGTGCAACAGTCTAGGAATGGGGTAGTGGTGAAGACAGAGGATGGTTCCGTATACGAAGCCAATTATATCATCGTGTCTGCGAGTATCGGTGTTCTCCAATCCAGTCTTCTCTCCTTCCAACCCCCTTTACCAGTAAGTTTGCTTTCTCTTCTTCCCCTCTATGATCATAGTTTATGATTAATTACTTGTTGGTCTTATCTTTTGTACTTATTTAACATTTAAAAGATACAAGGTGGAGATTTTTAGTCAATCAATGTGCATGAATCTAGGGAAATATTAAATTGTATCAGGCATTAAGTCATAAATTTTGGTGTCTATAAGAAATTGATATTTTCAAATATTTATTAATCCATATACTTGTGACCTTACTATTTTCAAAATTATATTTGGTGACAGAGATGGAAAACAGAAGCTATACAAAAATGTGATGTGATGGTGTACACGAAGATCTTCCTAAAGTTCCCTCAATGTTTCTGGCCATGTGGTCCTGGTCAAGAGTTTTTCATCTATGCACACGATCAACGCGGCTACTTCACCTTTTGGCAGGTTGATTTCCCTAAATAATGAGATTCTATTTGTTTGTTAATCTCGATGCATCTTTTTGGTCGTTCCACTTAAGGTCGAAACGTGGCACATATTGACTCTCTAATCTTAAAATTAAACACCTGGGGGTCCCTTTGATTTAACTATCATTCATTGCTTTTAGTTATCTTGAGTGTGTCTAAATAGCGGCATGGTCCATATATTCAAGAGTATAGAATTCACACAATATTATATTATAATGTGAATGCATACACCATTTAGCTTTTATTATTACTACAACTTGCTTGCTCTCCTCTCCAGCTTATATGTGAATCTAATTGCTGCTTTTGTTATATCATCAGCACATGGAAAATGCGTACCCGGGCTCTAATATTCTGGTGGTGACGTTGACCAACGAACAATCAAAGCGCGTTGAAGCTCAATCAGACCAAGAGACGATGAAAGAGGCAATGAGTGTTCTCAGGGACATGTTTGGGTCCACCATTCCTTACGCAACCGATATTCTTGTCCCCAGGTGGTGGAACAACCCGTTTCAACGCGGTAGCTACAGTAATTACCCTATGATATCTGATAATCAGCTTCTGCAAAATATCAAGGTAACACACTTTTTGTTGTTATTAAGACACACACACATATATACACATGTTTGTCAGGAATTAAAGAAGGTTTTTGTTTGTCATTCAGGCCCCAGTTGGACGGATATTCTTCACAGGAGAACACACAAGTGAAAAGTTCAGTGGGTATGTACATGGAGGATACCTTGCAGGTATTGACACAAGTAAATCTTTGTTGGAAGAGATGAAGCAGAGTTTGTTGTTACAACCTTTACTCGCCTTCACCGAGTCTCTTACACTAACGCACCAGAAGCCTAATAACTCTCAAATCTACACAAATGTCAATTTTATCTCAGGTACAAGCTAGAGAGTAGAAACCTAACCCCTTCTTTATTTTATTTATTCGTTTGAGCTACTCTTGAGTAAACTCATGGGAAGTATTTAAGCAACAGATGCTTTGAAATAGCTAAAGCGTCTCCTTTTGCCTTAACTGGATAAACCTCTGATGAACTTTGTTGCCATTTGTGTGACATCATTATCCATTCTCTTTGCCATTTCTCGACCTTGAATTTCTTCTTATCTCTTAAGCTTTTCAGCATTTCATTGAAATACAACCTCGCTCGAGGTAAGTAGTAGTCTTCAAGTAACCCACTCCATAACTTGTTTGCTGATGATGATGATCATAAAAGATAACAGTTTTTTAAAAAGCTCTACCTACTGAAAAATCCTTTTTAAGTTTACATCTTACCGTAATCATGAAGCTTGCTTTGGTTCACATCTTTCGAGTCATACCACATTGTCACTTGCGTTCTCGCGTTCCACTCGTACTGTACACACAGAAACACAGTCATAAGCAAGCAAACACAGTCTCGCGTTCTACCTGCACTTTCCAAGAAAAAGAATGATGTTACACCTGTTTCCTTTCATCACCGTTTCTGGCCAACTTCTTTGCACTCTCCAGCCATGTCCCCAGAAGGAAATTATCATCAGAAGCAAGCAGAACGTCTATGTCCTTTATAAGCTCAAGAAACTTCTCACTCAATTGTCCTAAGCTTCCAATATCTTTCTTTACAAAAGCAGTCACTGCTTCGATGTACACCTGGTTTGCTAGTTTTGATAAAACTTGACGCGTCAAATCAACCATGTCATACCTGCAAGCAAAACCCCTAGGAATCTGTAACCATTAAAATGATAGATACTCTATTTCTACTTGCATCTACCTATATGTTAAGCTCCTTGACAGCTCATCCCCAGCTTCTAGGAAAAGTTTGAGAGCTTGGATCACCTCCTTTGTAGAATACCATAAATGGGCCTTAGGCAAATCAGAGCTCTTATCTTGAAACAAGACTCTTCTTTTTGTTTCGTATGGGCCAGTGGAGATCATATATGAATCTGTATGTTTTGATTCGTCTTGTACAGAACTAGATGGATCCCAGTCGGGAAGCTTGACTATGAAATCTGTGTTATGGTCCTAAAACAGAGCATTTTAAAAGCAAGTTTCTTATGAATTATAGAGCAGATCTACGGAGAGGTGTTGCGGTAGTGACCACAACAAAACGTACTGCAATTCCATCAGTGCAATTGTAGACAGTGTGATACAGAATCTCCCAAGCGGCCTCGATTTGATGATTTTCTTTCATGTATCTTCTGCGTGCATAGCTCTTCAACCATTTCTATGAACACGAATATTAAAATGTATGAAACTGATTGTGCAAAAAGTTTCAAGTGTCACATGAAGAGTGTATACTGTATATACATTTACCTGTACATCAACTTTCTCATCTCGAAATGCCATTTCAGAAATTAGCTCGTAAACCACCGGGTTCTGCTCTATTCCTTCCATGCACATTCCTACACCGACCTATGTGCAACACAAATAACAAGCTTCCATTTCTAAGCGGAGAAAATAGCCTCATCTAAGTGTATACATAAGATTAAAAATGTGAAACATATTGTGAAAGTAGTTATGAAATACCATGGTTGAATTTTTGCTGACACGAGCATCAACTGGTCCTGAAGAAATTGAATCAAGAGCCCCATACATTTCAATGTTGCCTCCAAAATTGTGAAGCATGCACCTAGAATTCATTCGATTTTAATAACAACACGTAAAATACAACTGACTCAGGCATAAGAAGGAACTGAGACAACAATATACCAGATATAAGGAGTTCCATAAAACTGGGCGGACGTGTTCCATATCGGTTTGACTTCAGCATATAGGTCAAGAACTATCATTTTGCCAAAGGGAACTGAGTGTAAGAGCGCCTGCAGAAAGCAAGCGATGCTGTAATATCGGATTTATCAGCTTTCATCATATACACTAAAATGGGTGCTTACTTTCATCTGAGGCGGCTTCCAGAATTTTGAGTCTGAACTAAAAAGCCAACCCTGCAAAAAGATGGGTCTCAAGTAAGAAAGCTTTCAGAAATGGAGAAATCTTTGCCCCGTCATTCAAGATTGCTGTAACTTCAATACTAAAATCTGTGTGTTTATAGTTTTCTAGATAGCATCCTAAAGTACGTATGCCACTGAGAATAAAATGGAAAAGAAGGCATACTTGCATTAACCATACAGCATTCTTGTTTCCTTTTGACATAGCTTTGTACACTGCAGCTCCTAGTGAAGATATATATTCAGGTTCACTTGTGGGAGGAGTATTCTCATTGAATGTATCACTGCATTAACGCAAGTAAGATTAGTATCATCATTATTTCAAATAAAGAGAGTTGGTTTTTGCATGAATCATGCATTCTTGGGGAAGATCGTTTTCACCAATACTTACCTGGGTCCAAAATACTATAAAAAGTTGCAAGAAATAATTGACCTCTTATGAGCAAATTGGAGATAATTACCAGTTATATATGTTTGTAATCTCTCCATATTCTGAGACAGTAACAAGGTAAGATTACAGACAGATAAAATGTGTAATTATATGATAAAAAAACTGTGATCAGGTGGGATCTTTGTTAGTATGTATCTAATCTGAGAAAATGGCTTTTAATGGATTACATAATTTGCCAAGATTATGAAAACAGAAACAGCTTCAGGGTACCTTCAACTTGTTGTTTAATAAAAGCCTCTCCAATGTCAATGAAGAGAGGGTCAGAAGGATTTAGAAGGTAAGTGCAGCACCAGCGAGAATCACCATCCACCGTGTTCCTGAGAAGAAATGAATAACAAATGGTAAAGTTATTGTCAATCTGAAGACAAAACAGTAAAAAACTAGCATTTATTTTCTCATCACAGAACTCAAAAAGTTTCATCCACTGGATTAAAAAAAGTTTCTGGGCATGATTTACAGAAGGAACACATACCAATTATCAAGTCGTGTTATATTTGCCCCGGGATATATCTTTCTCAAAGCTGATGGAACATTGCCTGAGAATGATGGGAGTACTAGGAAAGGAGGAAACAAACGAAAATATAAGATGCTATGAGAACAATCTATCGAGTATATGAAAAGAGAAGAAAGTGATTGTTCTTGGACCTGGAGTCATGCCAAGCTTCAACATCTGAGAAAGTATCTGTTTCTGCAAAATCAACTGGTCATTTAACCAGTTTTTCGATAATGGACCACCCCAACTGTGATGTAGATGTAGTTAAAATATGAATTATGTGAGCTCCAAGAATGGAAGACAAATCTAGCTCAGAAGGAGCACTGGGGATAGGTGCCTAAAAATATGAGAGATTGGGTTATTTACGTGTGAAGATTTCCCATGCGAGCCCAAGCAAGGAACGCTGGTCCACCAAAATAATCATCCAGATCTTCTTTAGTGATGTTGAACCTCTAAACAAAATTGATATAGAACTTTGTTAGCAGTATATATCAACTTGTATCCAATCATGGCACAGCAAACAATTACTATCAACAGACTATTTAAAAAAATTTCATTTTCTTATTGCAATCTGGCTTTTTACCTTGAAAACCTTTTGCCAAATAGCTTCTTGTCCAGTGAATGCTAGAGGCAAGTTAATTCCTTGCAATGCCATCCAGTCAATCTCTCTCTCCCATCTCTCCCATCCCCACCAAACATATGAATCTGGAAAAAACAAGAAAGCAGGCAGGAGCAGGAATGTGATGCGAGTGAATCATTATAAAACAATTGACACATGTGGAAAATTTTGATTCCAAGAAGTGTATATAAATGTCTTACAGCTAGATGTAACAACATTTTGGTAATAGTTCCAAGGGATAGGACGCCGGATCAAGATGCGTTTAGAATCTAGACGAGGTAGATGTCCAGGCTGTGGAACAGAGGCAATCTGAATTCCACCAGTTTTGTCCCAAGAAACATGAGCATTACATTTATACTTCAAATACCAATGGAGCCCAGAAGCAATCTCAACTCCAGTTGTGCCTTTAATCCTGAGATACAAGATGGAAAAATTAAAAGAGAAGATTTTCAAGTAAAATTTGATCCCTCTTCAAGAAATCAGATGATACTTACACGATTTCAGGTCCAATTCGTCTCGGGTCATCATAGTTTTCAATTAGAAAGCAGCTGGTGCCACCACAAACATCCTATTGAAAAAAAAAAAAAAAATCAGTACTGTAGTATCAACACTAGCATAAGAAGGAAGAAAAGGAAGAACCTTTGAGAAAATTCTGAACTCAAAGCTGTGAAAATGGGTCGGAAGCAGTCTCTGTAGTAAACCCTTTGCAGCTGATTCTTGTACAGACGAAGTTGGTAGTAGAGAATCCAAACGGTTAAGGAGACGATCAATAGTTGGATGATGTTTTGACAAAGATTGAGAGTGAAAAGAAAGAACCAACAGAACCAACAAAACCAATTTGATGGAATGCATGCTGATGCTCTTCGTCACTAGTGAGTGAGAGAGTCAGCAAGGAAAGGCAGATAACATAGAAATTAGAAACTGATCGATCTCTTAAGAAAGTGGCCGGATAATATTTGATTTCAAAATAAACCGGTATAAACCAAAATAAACCGGGTCGTTTTCAAGTTTTACAGGTAAACGAAAAAAGGAAACAGAGACGACGAAGACGCATAGCCGTGATTTATCTTGTTAGGTTAAACCCTAAATAGTACTATAATATCAGTGATTTCTGGGGTTTAAATCTGCTTCCTGGACCTTTAGCTGCAAAGTTCGTTGATGTTGTAGTGATTCTTACTTCTCAGAGAATGAAAAATTTGAAGCTTTACTCCGAGGTTTCTCAGAACATCCAATTGCATTCGACCGAAGAAGTTGTACAGTTCGCAGCTTACGACATCGACCAAAGTCGCTTATTTTTCGCATCTTCTGCTAATTTCGTTTACTCCCTTCAGCTCTCTTCCTTCCAAGTAAGCCAATTGCTGTCTATGAGAATTCGTTTCCTCCTCTTTGGTTCATCCTGTTTTTGTTTCATAAGAAAAAAGTTGGGGACTTTGTTTGTTCTAAAGAAGGGTTTTTGTTTTTATTTCGCTTTTGATTCAAGTTTCTTATGGATGAACTTGCAAGTGAACTTAGGGTCTGTTTAAATCGAAAGTCTTTCTCTTTATGTTATTGGTGTTTCTTTCTCTTGTATTGATTTCTTACTCATAATGTGGCAGAA